CTGCTCCCCAAGGCTTCCATCCTCACCCGGTCTTCCTTCTGGGTTCGCGAGTTGAGGCACGCCATCCATTGAGAGCTCAATGCGCATCACCCGCGCTTCTAGAGTAAATATCTCCTAAACATTGCACGTGTAGGGGATATTTACAGTACCTACAGGTAAGCCTGTGAAAAAAGGAGTTTACTTACACTTTAAGTTGCAAAAGCAGTGGACAGGGGTGTACACATGTGGCGGCCACATCACAATCAAGGTCAGCAGTGCCGCCAAACGTGATCGGTCCAAGTGAATGGGGCCGCGCCGCAATGTGATGCATGCAGTTGCGGTATGGTTTACAGTGTTAAAACAGACAGTGAGGTGGCAACTTATCACCGGTGTAGTGGCAAGATGAGTATCAGGTAAAGATATGTATGCCTTGTATGCAGTAGGCATGTGCCGGTCATGTTGCCACTACACCGACAGTCTTGCTGCGCCTCTATACCTAACAATGTGGCTGGAAAGCTCTAGCTATCCCTGTTAGATTCTGAGTGAGCTGAGCTTTTCCTGTATCTGTTAGAAAGATTTTGCAACAAAATGTTTGACATATTTTAGGTTGTCTGAGGTGATAAAAGGATGTATTAAACCTGGAAAACAACTACTTTGTGCAGAACTTCAACTACAGAAGCTTATTTCAATTTACAAAATGACTTTCGTAGCCAAATTTGCCACTAGGGGGTGCTAAGGTCCTGCAATGATAAATGCTAATAAACGTAAGCTGATGAAGATCTTTTTCTTTAGCAAAATAATTCAGCTCCAAGAATCAATTACATAGCAGCTCTAAATAGAAAAAGCAGCTTTACGTACAATACTCACCTTCTCCTGTGCCTCTCCCTGAAGACACACCAGTCTATGGTCCAGGGCTGATCCTTTTCCGAGCTGAATAACACCCAGCATCATTCAACCAAATTCTTGTGAGCACCTGGTGCCCTGGACACACCATTAGTGAACCTTTAGAACCTTTAGGGCCCCAATGCAGGAAACCATAAAGGGCCCCCCTAACCCCTGGCTGAGCCCCTTCCCCCACGGTGGAGAAACGCCAGTGCCGGTCACAAGTGTGACCTTTGTGACCCTGGTAGTCCCGCCACTGGTGTCAGTAGTTTTTTTTTTTTATTTTTGTTATTTTATTTAGAATTTATTTTACCATTTTATTTCATTATTTATGTTTTACAATTTTATTTATTCATTTTTGGAGCCCAGTTGGGGAGCTTTGGTGAAATATCGGGGGTCTAAACAGACCTTTAATGTTTCACCTTTGAGACAGAGAAAGGAGATTGAGGGCACAGCCCTCAATCTCCTTCTCTGCAACCTTAGCAGCAGAGTATTAATGGACAGAAATAGCTCTGTACAGGGGTTCCAATTAATTCACAAACTGAAGCATAGTAAACACAGTTTACTATGCCTTAACTATGTATGAACAGAGTCAGTGAACGGTAAAGATCGCTGACTCTATTCTTTAAGACAAGGAAGAGGCCGGTAAATGACACATTTACCAACCCTTCCCCACTCTCCGTCCTGAAAGCAATCTGTGCAGCGGGAGAGGGGATGGAGAAACCCGGCTGGGGGAGTACACAGGAGCCCTATCATAGCAGGAGGTGGACAGAAGGGGCAGTGGGGTGTACAGGTGTACAGGGAGCCACACGGGCCCCTTGGAGCATAGTGTTGGGTCACAATTGTAAGCCCCTGGTAGCATTTATACATCATTGCTTGAGTGAAATTCAGTCAGTGGTGTATTTAGGTTTTGTGCTGCCCTAGGCAACAGACAAATTGGGCGCCCCCCCTCCCCCCAATGAGAGAGCGAGAGAGTTCAATGAGTGGTGTGTATATATATATATATATATATATATATATATATTTATTTATTTATCGAGTTTATATAGCGCCAAAGGGTTTGCTCAGCGCTGTACAACAGAGGGGGGGACAATACATGAAACAGTACAGTAACATCAAACAGCACACAAGGGGTAAGAGGGCCCTACTCTTTCGAGCTTACAATCTAGGAGGGAGGGGGTAGAGGTACAGGAGGAAATGGCTGTGGGGGATGGAGTGGTAGGAGGAGGAAAGGGCAGCGGCTGTTAGGTGAGGGTGGGGTAGGCTTCCCTGAAGAGGTATATATAAATATATATATATATAAATATGATTCTCTTACTTTTTCCCTCTTTCTCTCTCTCTCTTTCTCTCTTGCGCTCTCTCTCACTCTTTCTTTCTCTCCCTCCTTCTTTTTCTCTCTCTCTCTCTCTTGTTTTCTTTCTCACTCTCTTTTTCTTTCTCTCTCTCTCCTTCTTTCTCTCTCTCCTGGTGGCATCCTGGTAGCATTTATACATCATTGCTTGAGTGACATTCAGTCAGTGGTGTATTTAGGTTTTGTGCTGCCCTAGACAACACAAAAATTGGCGCCCCCCCCCCCCCCACCAATGAGAGAGCAAGAGAGTTCAATGAATGTGTGTGTATATATATATATATGAGTCTCTCTCTCTCTTCCTTGCTTGCTCTCTCTCTCTCTCTCTCTCTCTCTCTCATTTCTCTCTCTCGGTCTCTCTTCCTTGCTCGCACTCTCTCTCTCTCTCTCTCTTCTCTCCTTCTCTCTCTCTCGCCTTCTCTCTCCTTCTTCTCTTTCTTTCTCTTCTTCTTTCTTCTCTCTCCTCTCTCTCTTCTCTCTCTCTGTAATACAAATGCTGGGTGCAATAACTAAAAGCAAGTCATATACACGTACACAATCAACATGTAGTCATACAGGTACTTTTAATCAGCATTTACACCAATACATATTCTACGCATGTGAAAGACCCTCTACCCAATGAATACCTGCCCTGGCACATCATAGCATTCACCCGGCACTCCAAGAAATAACAGAATCCAACTGCAATATTCTTGCACTGTCAAAACCTCCACTTTTATTATCACATGACACACAGGAGGATATATCTTATAGTGATCACAATCTGCATAATAACACACACCAATAATAATGTGAGCATTACAGCAAAATATAGACACATCATTTGACAGCGCCACAGCATAGAATAAATACAATCAATACATTACCAAAGCTATGTGGAAGTGGGAAGGAACAAATCCCATCTGAACCATACTGCTCAGGGGGTCACAGGGAAGCAGTAAGCATGACCAGTTGATGAGCCTATATGGCCTTGGCAAGAATCCCAGTGTCAGAGTGTCCCCTGTCCGCTTCCTATCAGTCTCGCTTGGACTCCATTAAACCATTTTCTGCCAGCTTTCCAATAGTGGGCGGGTGCCACACCCACCATAGGAGGAGCTAGCAGAAAGGTTCCACGAGGATAACAGAGTCACACTCAGCTACCACATTGATTCCACATCGTTATCTGAAAAGTCACACTTTTGCTTCAATGCAGCTTCTTTTCTACCCTAAAATTCTTCTCATCTACCCCAAACTTCTTCTCATCTGCCCTAAACTTAAAGATTTCTAACTTCTCAAGCAAGTAGACGTCTTTAAACAGGTTCTTATCTTCTAATGTGACATTACCAGGGGCGGACTGACCATTTGGAAACTCGGGCACTGCCCGAGGGCCCGGGGTCAGTAGGGGGTCCCATGAGATGCCCCTGGTACCTTTTTCATAGGCTTTTTTGAGTTTGGGCAAGGACACAGGAGCCCCATGATCCTCTATTGCCCTGGGGGGCCCCATGAGATGTCCCTGGTACCTTTTTCATAGGCTTTTTTGAGTTTGGGCAAGGACACAGGGGCCCTATGATCCCCTATTGCCCGGGGGCCCCATGAGTTGTCAGTCCGCCCCTGGACATTACTAGATGTCATAAACACATTCAATTCCATAAACAAGTTTTTATTTTACTCTAAGCAGAATATCTTGTGACTCTGATCCTTTAGCCTAGAGAAATAACATCAGCCACTTTTCATGCTCCTGGCATTTGGGCAACAATGCTTTATTGTAAAAATTACCCAAGAAAAGGGTCCAAGGCCAACACATTTCATAGGCATTACACTCTCTCTTTCTCTCTACTTCTCTCTTGCTCTTTCTCTCTTACTCTCCTCTCTCTTTCTTTCCTTTCTCTCTCTATCTCTCCTTTCTCACTGGGGTGCCCCCCCCAAAGGAGACAGCAAGAGAATTCAGTGAGTGTGTATGTATATATATGATTCTCTCTCTCTCTTTCTCTTTCCCTCTTTCTCTTTTTTTCCTTCTCCCCCCCATCCTCCTAGCCGATACCACCCTCCCAAAATCCCAATTACATTTCCTAAAAAAAGTAGAGAGAAAACAGCCAGGAGGAGGTGAGCTGTGTTGTGTTCTCTGGGCTCTCCCTCCTGTCATCCATGCAGCACATGAGACAGGATCGCTGATAGATCGCAGCACTGAGCAAACTTTTTGGCGCTATATAAATACGGTATAATAATAATAATATGGGACTGCGCACACACACACACAGAATGATTACCTCCCCTTACCTCCTGAAAGGGCTGCTGATATCCGGGCAGCAGGAAATGTGGGTGGGGGGCAGTAATCATAGTGTGTGCGTGTACAGTCCCATATGATCTATCAGTGATCCTGTCTCATGTGCTGCATGGAAAATAGAAGGGAGAGCCCAGAGAACACAACACAGCGCACCTCCTCCTGGCTCTTTCCTCTCCGCCACTTCTCCTCTCTCTGCTCCAGGATTTCCCCTGGTCCCAGCTCTGAGTGTGGTCAGGGGAAGGAGCTCAGCAGCCACTCAGGAACACCAGGGCACCCCCTCAATCCGGACAGGTCTGTCTGTCTCTCCCTCCAGCAGCAGAAAGCCGGCAGACGGGAGAGGGGGAGAAAACGGCTTTCAGCTGCTGAAGGGAGAGATACACAGGGCATCATCCTGCATCTGCTCTCCCCACCACACCGATCCTCCTGCTGTCTGGGCCCCCTACAGCAGTACCCCCTACAGGAGCAACTCTAAAAATTGATACTCTAGGGAAACGCCTTGTTTGCCTTGTGGCAAAGACACCGCTGCATGCACTGCAGAAGAACTACTCACTAGAAAAAAAGGAGAATGACCCATGATGCCACGTGACTGGTCATAGGCAGGGGCGGACTGACAACTCATGGGGCCCCCGGGCAATAGGGGATCATGGGGCCCCTGTGTCCTTGCCCAAACTCAAAAAAGCCTATGAAAAAAGGTACCAGGGGCATCTCATGGGGCCCCCTACTGACCCCGGGCGCTCGGGCAGTGCCCAAGTTTCCAAATGGTCAGTCTGCCCCTGGTCATAGGTTTGCTGGTTTAAAGGTATGCATAAATTTATTGAAAAAAAATAGGTTAAGGGTTGGGGGACTGCTGCAAGGCAGTGCAACAGGTTTGCCTCAAACCCCCATTCCCAGCCACACATATTTATCTTTCGATTGCATCCTCACCCTTCCATTCAGCCACTGCAAAGAAAAGTTCTCTGTCCTATGGGGGCAAGGAAAGTCCTTAGCCCTGTGCAAGCTCCAGCTGAAGAAACCTGGAACTCCAGATGGCTGGCTGAATGAAGTGGCAGGAAGTGGAGGTGAGTGTGTGCAGCTGTAGATGGAGGCATTCAAATAAATGTGTTGCTTTGGCCTTCATGGGAAAAGCAGAGGTCCACTTTAAATTATGCCAATTATTATTAAATATTTTTTTAAATATTTACAAAGTGTGCCATTTCTCTTATTAGAGTACTTTTGAGCTTTTTGATATAGCCATCTTTTACTCTAGGTAAGGGACTCCAAACTTTCTAAACAAAGGGCCAGTTTACTGTCCTTCAGAATTTAGACTGTGCCAAGTAGGAGTAGAAAAGGTCCTGACCTCAATGGGAAAAAAATACTGACACCATCTTTGATGAATTATGTGCCATCATTGGTGTCAGTGGAAGGAATTGTGCCCTATCATTGGTGTGAATGGGCCCCATTGCTGGTGTCATTGGGAGAAAATGTGTCCTATCGTTGGTGTCATTGGGAGGAACTGTGCCCCTTCATTGGTGTCATTGTTCCCCATTACTGATTTCATTGGGAGAAATTTTTTCCCATTGTTGGTAACATTGGGAGGAAATTTGCCCCTTCATTGATGTCAGTGGAGGGAATTATGCCCCATTGTTGGTATCAGTGAATGAAATAGTGTCCCAAGGGCCGGATAATAGATAGCAAATGTCTGCATTTGGTCCCTGGGCCAAAGTTTGTAGACCCACTGCTGTAGAGCAACCTTTCTAAACCAGGGTTCCGTAGAAACACAGAATTTCTCCAGAGGTTGCTAGGAGTTCCTCGAGGAAGTAGCAATTTCTGCTTTTCAGTTCTGTTGCCACTGAAACCATTGATCTTTTTATTCATCTGTAAAAGGGGGATCATTCCCACTGTCCACAACTGTATAGCATTCTTCTCCTTGACTATCACACTAATGTATCTACAGTGAGCTGTAGATAATGTAATTTTTAGCAGAGGTTCCCTGAGACCATAACATTATTTCAAAGGTTCCTTTGTATGAAAGAGGTTGAAAAAGACTGCTCTAGAGGCATGGCTAAATACAGTGTGTTCATTTTGGTTATGCTATAATGGAACAAAAAGGTCCCCCACCTCAGATCGTAGAATCACTCATGATCTAATGCCACCTCTTGAACAATTACATTTAATGTATTCGTGTTTGTAGTGTCTTCATGTCAGGGTTTTTATTTAGTTTCCTTCCAAAAAACTATTCCTTCAGGGACAGTACCTTAATGAATGGCTCACTATACTATGAAAACTGCTGTTCTAATAACATGCAGTGGTGGGTGTAGTCAGCAACCGGCCCCTGGAGTAGACGCACACTGCTCAGCACAACTTGAATATTACAGATGTGGAGGACTGTTAGGGTGCCAAAAAATAATGGCTTCAGGCCCCCACCTGCCCTACATGTGAGAGCTTTGCCCAAGGTTTCTTGGCAGTGGGAAGGGATTCAGCACCCTTCTGTCTCACATATTTTTAAATGGGCCCCTAAATCCCAACACACCCTTGTTCAACCGCATAGTGTTTCTGTCCCATTTTTAGAAGCAGAGATTATAATTTTTCTTGTTGCATAGTTTTTTTTTGTTTTTTTTTAAACCTCCCAGAATTGATTGCTTTATTTGCATCACATTGATTTATATGGGACCTGGTACACAAAAAAAATCAATGTGCAATCAGGAAATAAGTTTTGAATAATCAATCTCTTCAGATTGTTTAGTACTGACATTGCAGAACTTATTAGCTGAAAGGATCTAGATAACTTCCATTTTGTATTATGTACGCCATTTTAAGTATTAAGTATTAAGTTATCTTTTTGTAGAGATATTAGAAGTTTAATGAAACTGTTTTTGGTTGTTCAAGGATGTATCAACAGAAGCTAACATGACCCTGACAATGTCTTTGTCTGGCTGTTTTCCCAGAAAGTTAGCCAAAACAATTTGTACCAAGAAATGTATATGTTATGTTTCATGTAGTTAGCTCATGATGGAAAGTTACAAGTTACAGTTTTGAAACTCGCTCCCCCCTCCCTTATTATTATCTGTAGTCTATATAATCTTATTAATGTCTAATAAACTTTCAAAATCTCTGAACATAAGCTGTCGTGATTTCCGTGTTCAAGGGGTGTTCCCAGAATTCTGCTGATAAACCTGGAATCTCTCCACAGACCGGGGGTCTCTGAGGGGAAAAGAAAATCATTCCTTTCAGCTGGGGGCCGTCCGGGATGACCACCCACCTCACTTGGTAAGTAAACCTTTTGTCTTTTTATGACTAAAAGCTCTTTTCTTGCCCTGTGTTGAGGGAAGGTCTTGAATCATTCTGTATTGTCTATATAGACCCGTGATAACCTGTAGCTGCTTTTGGTAAAGCAGACTTAACTCTTTGGTAGAGTTACAAAATAGTGCACTATAAAAATATAAAAAAGGTGTTTTGGTAAACACAGTTCTCTGGTAGAACACACTGTTTTTGGTAAAACAGTGAAGAGATAACTTTTGGGAAGTTATCAAGAGGTTAATAAGTCTGTGGAGCAGATTCTGGTTTATCTGTCTTTTGCTTTTTCTTTCTGTTGCGTAGAAGTATAAGAGATAATTTGTTGTGTGGAACAAAAAAATATTTTAAGCTAAAATTGTTTTATCCACTGTCTAAATATGGGTCAAGGAGGTAGTTACCCACCAGGTCCCCCAGAAAAGGGAGAAAACTGTAAGGATTATGTTGCTAGAGTTTGTGGATCGGACTATTATTTAATAAATCCCTGGGTGGATTGTATGGCAGGCTGGACAGAAGCTATGGGGAGTACAGACCCATTACCAAGAAAGGGGGAGAAAACTGGTTGAAATGGTCACCGTATTGGGTTGATAATAGCAAGGGAAAGTTCAATTTGATTTTCTCTTTAAAACAAAAGAGGAAGTTGAAATTGGATACATTAAAAATATGCCAGGAAAAGCATCAATCTGAAAAGACATGCAGACCCAAGATTGGACTGAAAACAGTTCAGACACCAACCCCACCCCCCCCCCCGTAATATATATCCTTCATTAAGTGGTTTTAAAAATGCTGCTGATGATGATTTTTTGATTAGTTTGGGGATGATTACTCCCCAGCCTAATGCCCCTCCAGCCCCTGCTCCTGTCTCTGCAGCTCCAGCTCCTGCCCCTGCCCCTCCAGCCCCTGCCCCTGTCCCTGTGCCACTTCCCGTCCCGGATCTACAACCAATACAGCCAGGCCCCTCCACTAGACCCAAACAGATTATTAGTATAAGATCACCAGAGGAGGGTAGTCAAGTTCAAGGCATCCTTACAGAGAATAATGACAACGAAGGAGAGTTGGAATACGAAGAACAGGGACAGGTAAATAAAATAAAATTACAGAAAAAGGATGGTCAATGGAGAAGAAGTGACACCAGTCATAGAAAGGGCAGAGAGATGGAGGAATTTAGAATGCAGCTTAGATCCATGGATAAGAAACAAGAGGGAAAAAGAGAAGATGAGGGGGCCGTAGGAGGAAAGGAGTTGGGCTATATTGACACTACCTTTTCTCACAGCAGGAGAACTAATTCTAAAAAAACCCCATAGAATTAGAAGATATTAATAAGATTGTTAAACATTGTCCCAAGCCTACAGTATCTCCTGGAGGTACTCTTGCTTATTTAAAAAAGGCATGTTTAGGAAGAAATTACACACAGGAAGATATGAGATTGATCATTGATGGTATTCTGGGAAATAATCCAGCTTGGGATTGGATAAATGTAAAAAGCATTAGTCACATAGAACCAAGTAATACACAGGCTACTGCCTATAAACTAAACACCACAGAAGGGAACTATGTGGGAGGAGCTTGACACAGAATTAAAAAGGGTTTTCAAGAATAAGGCTTCCCTCCCTATTGCTACAGCATGTAAACAGAAGGTGGAAGAAACTGTTTCTCCTTACAACACACCTATCAATTCTGTTAAGAAGCCGGATGGCTCTTACAGGTTTGTACAAGATTTGAGGGCCATAAATAATTTGGTGGTTCCATTAGCCCCAATAGTGCCTGATGTGCCATCGCTCCTCACCTCCATTCCGTCCGATGCAGAATATTTTACAGTGATTGATTTAACAAATGCATTTTTTTCTTCGGTTCCTGTGGACCACCAGACGAGGGCGCTATTTGCATTTACGTTCCGTAAACCGCCAGTTGACCTGGTGTAGATTGCCCCAGGGCTATGTAGATTCGCCTGCAGTCTACTACTTGCCACTTGCCCTCCAGACCACACTGAGGTCCTGGACCCCTCCCAATGGTTTGGTCCTCATTATATATGTGAATGACCTATTGATTTGTAGTTCAAGTCAGGAGGCCAGTCAGGAGGATAGTTGGTCTCTGTTAGAATGGTTGTCAGGGAATGGTCACAAAGCATCTAAAAAGAAATTGCAATGGTGCCAAAAACAGGTTGAATACCTTGGTTTTATTCTAAGTCATGGTGAGAGGAATGTCAGTCACAAAAGAGAGCTGCGGCTCTCGTGGGTCTGCCCCGCCCACAAACAAAAAAGGACATGCTAACTTTTCTTGGTATGATTGGTTACTGCCGCCAATGGATACCCGATTGTTCACTCTATGATCACACTCTGAGGTCTGCCACACTTTCAGAATCACCTGACATTCTCACATGGTCAAATGAAATGGTTGATGCCTTTGTGTACCTGAAGAATGCTATGGTAACGGGCCCCTGTCTTGGACTACCTGACTATAAGAAAATGTTTCATCTGTATGCTAGGGAAAATTGTACAACCATGGC